AACTCTAGTTATTAAGATCGAATAAGATCAATGCTAATTTTGATCATTTTATTAACTTAAAGATTCAATAATGAAAAACGTCAAATATAGCCAAACGGATTGGCTATATGAGTAACAATGTCTTTACAAGATAAAAGATCAAATCTGATCATAGTATTACAGACAATTGAATGCTACGAAAAGTTTGTGGCGGGTACAGAAAAAGACATTTTGCTTCGGTAAATGAGCCTAAGAATGATATAGAAAATAAAAGCTGGTTTTAGCAGATAACCTGGATATTTTAGACATGCGAAGCTTCACAAAACCTTCTAGTTCATCATCGAAAAGACTACCTTGCGTTGATAGACTACTATTAGAATTCACCTATTGAATATTGGAGAGAAAGGCTTAATAATTATTTAGATAAATGAACATCGACTTCTATCAAACCCAACATAAAAAATTTGTCAGACATACCTGCTCAAGGCTAGGAGTCTTAAGAAGTATTTTTTTCATATGTTTCAAAACTCATCCATTGAATGAAAACACGTATAGTGGTTTATTTGAATCCAACTAATTAAAACATGACTTTAATTACTGCATGATGTACTTCTATGTAATTTGTCAACAATTTTCTTTCTTAGTTCACACCAATCTTTTTGATAAATCTATGTTACAACACAAATACTTTAGCTTCCTCTTTGAAAAACTATCTTTCTGAATAAAATTAAATATGTTTAAACAAGTCTCATGGGAATGCTGAGTTCAAGGTATACTACTACCAGTAAGTCGTAGACTGTTGTCAGCTTTTGAATATTCCAGGATAATATTGAAATATTTGAGTGCATGACTTAAACGTACTTCTGGCTGGTGATACGAAAAACCTACTGATATATTTATCTATAAAACGCTTGAATTCAAAAACATTAAAGCTAGTACCCTTTTCTAGAACAATTTCAAGTAGGATACATGATTACGTACGCATCTCATACTGGTAGCAAGATACCCTGTTGGAATCCTGCTAAAAGTCACTAGGTACAAGAGTACCTTTTTTTCAATACTTTCATTAATGGAATATTTTGCCTTAGGAAATATTCCAGCGTTGAGAGATGCTCTTCATTGATTAACTTTCAAAAACCATAATCACTTACTATGAAGTCTGTTTGCTTGAAAAAGTTTTTCAAAGTCTTGATGTGCACAGAGCTTCGCCACTTTTGAACGCAGACCTGGAGGATTGCTATAATAAAACCAAGAACTAGTATTGGGACCAGGGTAATGAGAGTCCAGAATAACGGTGACACAACAATACAATGCCTACTGTGGCCAATTTTAAACACATTTGATAAGAGAATATCATCAAATGCAGTCGTGTCGGGAGATTTCGCATAGGGATATGCTTGCGATACTGTCTCCAATTCGCTCTGAGGCACTTCGGCCACAGCACCAAGCGGACAGAATGCTAACGAATCACATACCGTGCAGTTCATGCTACCAGCTGAACTTCTCGAGCCCGGAGAACAAAGAGAGCACGGATGGACTCCCATATCATTTTTCATCATCCCTGCAGGGCAGTTCTGTTCTGTACTGATAACCGGTATCGACATAGGTTCTGATGAAAGACTCGTATCTGTCGAAGCATAGGACCCAGGCACTGTAGATAAAATAAGAAGAATTCCACCAGCTACGTCTACGACAGCTAAATAGTTTGGAGTGGAAACTATGTTGAGAAATTGACTATCGATAGCCAAAGGTAGAGGTTGTTGACTGTTGGGTATGATGGCTGTTGGTGCCGAGGCAAGACTAGTTCTGGGCAGCTGAGTGTAAAGCCAAATTTCTGAAGATAACCAGCTGAAGGACGTGGACTTGTATTGATTAGCAAGAATAGCAGCTTGATCAGATCCTAGCCAAGCAACGCCCTTGCCAAAGCCGAAACTTTGTCCATTATCTGTTTGGCTTGACAGTGTTAGTATGGTTCCACCACCACTCACGATAAAATGAAAGACAGTATTGAGATAAGGAATGCCGATCAGTACGCGTGTTGAGTCAAAATTGTTGATATCAACGGACATAGTGTATTTAACAGACCAGTCCTTAGTTCCCAAAAAAGGCAATTCACTTTGCCAGCTATCATTCGACGGTGTATAGATCCAAGTAGAGTAGATATTATGCAAATTGTTATCTATTAAATAGACAACGACACTTGCACGTGTGCGAGACGAATCCATATTGTCAACTAAGCCGGCTACGACAGTAAAATTGGTATCGATGTCGGCTGCTCTCGGAGTAAAGGAGCTGTTCGGCCAAAACGAAGTATTTATAGTAATCAACGGGTAATCGAACGGATCATATTTAAATACAAAGCTTTCGGCCAGTCCGAGCGCAAACTTTCCAGTCGGATGAACACCCATAACGAGAAAATCCTGTTGTGACAGAGGAACATAATCAGTTATGATACCTTGGATTTCAGTGCATTGTAGATGGTTTGAAAAATTGTAGAACGTAATAAAAGTGCCATTGCCTTGATTCCTATCAGTTTCCTGTTGACTCGTAGTGATAACTTGACCAATGGCGTAAAAGCTTCTATGGGTTGCCTGTGAACCGACTCCTACCGAGTAAACATAATCCATCTCATCATCATACTGCAAAAAACACCGTTGGCCACTAGCTACATTATTGTATGGCGCAAATAATATGAAAAATCCGTAAGCATCAGGCTGTGACTCAACTAAAAGAAGATCGTTGGCAGCTATCTTCAATCCGTAAGCATCATAGTCGTTGTTATCTGGACTAAAATTTCCAAAACATATCGGCAGACTAACCATAGTAAGCAGATGAAGAAGATAAAGCGCAAACATCTTGATGAAAGCAGTCTTCATATGGCTAATGTATCGATTGTGATCTAGGTGACACAAAAGTTTTGCTATTAACACTTAGTGTTCGAACAAACCCAACAGAAAGTGCGAGTGTGAGGTGTGGATGTGAGTGTGGTCCTTCTTTTAACTCACGCCCACATCCACATCCTTCATTACGTTTTGTCAGTCTGACTGGACTGATATCAGTCGATCAACGACCAAGATCGGTGTTGAAGACGCCAAAATGAGAAACGACTAGAAAACTGATTATTTTAACTGCTAGTAAAAAGTTGATTACATGCTAACTTAATGAAAATTATATCATTCGAAAGGTTTAAAAAGAGTGTGAGGGTTAGTGTGGACGAAGATAAGAGCACAACTCACACTCACCCAAAACAAATGCTAAGTTTCCTTATATTACCAAAAAATCTGAATTAATAAACAAGCAAGCTAAGTCTTTCAGATAAGAATGAACT